GTTTCTAGATCATCTCATATTGTAAAGTAATATCTCTCTCATCGATGTGCGTTTTGCTTGTAGCACTGGAGATCGAATCTAGGGCTTTCACACTGAACTACATCCTCAGCCCTTTTTTATTTTTCATTTTGAGGTAGGATCTCCCTAAGTCACTAAGTTGTTCATGCTAGGTTCAAATTTATAATCCGTCAGCCTCCCAAAATGCTGGGATTACATGTATGTACTACTACTCTGGGTTATCAATAACTCCTAGTTATTAATTTGAATTGTTCTAATCATTAATATGATCTGCTTTTCATATACATATTAGCCACTCAGGTATTTTCTCCTGGATATTGGGTACCACCTATTAATATGCATCCCATACTTTTTAAATTAGCCTCCTCTCTTTTTCTTGCTGACTTATGGGGGGTTCCTTGTATGTTATTAATTTATTTTTGTTATATCAGTTACCTTTGCCTATGGCATCTTTATTTAAACAGAAAACCCATAATTTTTCAAATGCATCTATTTAATTTTATCTTATTTCCCTTATGATTTGTGCCTTGGCAATCTGAAGCAATCCTGACCTGTATCGTGAAGATATTTTCCACATTTCATCAATTCTTTTTTATAAATATTCACTCTCACACTTAGGTATTTAGCCTACATGAAATTACCTTTATATAAGGTATGAGGTACAGGTCCATGTTTATTTTTTTCTGTATGGTAAGCCAATTTCCGCAATAGGATCTATTAAACATCAATCTTTTCTCCACTGATTTGTGATTCTACTCCCATCATGCATAACATTTTATGTATGTATGTGGGTATGTGTCTGTGGGTATGTGTGTGTGTGTGTGTGTTTCTGGTCTCATCATTTTGTTCTTTTTGTTCCTTTGGTCTATTTGGCAGTTCCTTCCAACGGTGGTAGTATAATTCTTATTACTATGGCTGTACAATTTCTTACTGTCTGGTAGGACAGTTTCCCCTTTAGCTTTTCTTTTTCAAAATTGAAGTAACTACTCTTGGATCTTTATTCTTCTTCCTTTCTTAGGAATATTTGAATTCCTCCAAAATATTTATTGAACTTTTATTTGAATTGCATTGAATTTTTTTTTTTTTTTTTTTTTTTGGTTTTTCTCCGGTACCGGGAACCAAACTCACGACCTTGCACTTGCCAGGCAGGCGCTTCTGCCGCTGAGCTAAATCCCCAGCCCCTGCATTGAATTTTATTAATATAGGGAGAATTAAATTTTTAATTTTCATTTATATTATCTTTTCATGTTGTCTCTTCATTTACTCACCTATTGTTAAGTGTCTTTTAATAGGGTTTGCAAAATTTTTCCCTAAAGATAATAATTCCTAGGCACCATATGCTTAAATTGCAACAGTGAATGGATTTTATTTTAGTTCATTTTTGTTGGAGTGGGTGAAGGCTATTGATTTTTGAGAATACTTCTTGTATCTGGCAATCTTACTGGGTTCTTTTATTAATTCTAATAGTTTTTTTGTTTTGTTTTGTTTTTTCTGGTACCGGGAATCAAACTTACGACGTCGCGCTTGCCAGGCAGGCGCTGTGCTGCTGAGCTAAATCCCCAGCCTAATTCTAATAGTTTTTATTTTGATTCTACTAGTTTTTCTTTCTTTTTCCCCTTACTGAGTTTTTTTATAAAAATGACTAATGGTAGTTTGTCTCATCTAAACTGTTTATCTCATTTCTTTTTATTTTATTGCATTGATTAGGACCTCTACTACCATGTGGAGCAGTAGGGTGATAGTATTTTGGGCTTGTGATGATACTTAAAGGGAATCTATCTTAGGTTTATTGATTAAGTAAGTTTCATAAGGGGTTTTAGTAGATTGACTTCACCAAGTGAAGGAAGGCCCCTTGTAGTCTTGGCTTTCTGAGAATTTTAATCACAACTAGGGATCTTGCTTTATGTGATATTTTTTAAAACTGTTAAGAAAATATATGATTATGGTATGTTATGTGTAGTTTTTTTTTGTTTGTTTTTTTTTTTTTTTGGACAGAATCTTCCTATGTAGTTCAGGCTGACCTTAAACTCACTGGGTACCCCAGGGTGGCCTCAAACTCGTGGTGATGCTCCTGCCTCAGCCTCCCAAGTGCTGGGATTACACGCATGCACCACCATGCCTAGGTTGTGTTTGGTTCTTTTGTAGTATGTTATCCATGTTAGTTGGATGTTCAAATTTGTTAATGTAGAATTGACCTTAATGTTCTTTTTACCATTTTTATGATTTCTCAAATCTGTTACATCCACTGATATTTATCCTTTTTCATTCATTATCTTATTTGCAACTCTCATTTTTGTCAATCTTCTTAGATGTTTATATTTTGTTTAGTCTTTTCCAAGAAAGCGTTGTTGATTTCATGTTTCTGAAATACCTTGAAGCAGTCTCATCCCTGTGAAGCAGTAAAATAAGTCTCTGGAATCAGATATACCTGACTTTCTTGCTCTGCCACACGCTAGCTCCATGACCTCAGGCCTGTTACTTTGCCCTGCTATGTTTACTTCCTCCATTGTGGAAGTCCTTGTAGAATAGTTGTGAGGGTCAGATTAGAAAATTCACCTCAGTGCATGAGTACTTAGATACTCATGAGTACTTTAGCATAAGGTTCCCTGAAAGTACTTAACACATATTAAATCCCATCCTCAGTGCCTGTGATAATCAGGGTTCTTGACAGGAGCAGAACCAACAGGGTGTGCAGGAGAGACAGAGAGAGATTGCCCTTAAAGAATCAGCTCAAGGGATCCTGGAGATGCAATTTCAGAATCTTAGGGAGAGTGGCAAGCTGTAGACCCAGGGAAGAGCTGCAGGCCAAGTTCCAAGGCAGGCTGCTGGCAGAATTCCTCCTTGCTCAGGGGAGGTCAGTCTGTGTTCTGTGAAGGTCTTTGCGTGATGTCCAGAGACCCACTCACATTATGGAGGGGAATCTGCTTTACTTGAAGTTCACTGTTTTAATGTTATCTCATCTAAAACACACCTTCATAGTCACGTCCAGAATAACACCTGACCAGTCATCTGGACACCAAGTTAACACCTAAAATTAAGCATCACACCGCCTGTATGGTTGCCGCACGCCATGCCTGAGGTATGCTCCTCTTGGGCCTCTGCTAGGCCGTGTGGCACCTGTGGATAGGCACCTTCGAAAAGGTGTCACTTCCTCAGGCAGGCACAGCCCCACTCCCCCTCAGCCCAGTGCGCCTGTGCAGGCTGTACTTGTGCACGGCCACCCAGGCAGCTTCTCTGTTGGGTTTTCCTCCTGCTCTTTCCTCCTGGCGGCCAAAGGTGTCCCATTTTTCACGGTGAAGGAAGCCCTTCTTTCTCTCCCCTGGCTAGAAATAATAGCTGCCTATCTCCCCCTTCATCACATGTCACTCGTGCAGCCCTGAAGGCGTTTATCTCATTTACTTTACACCTTACTTATTACATGCAGCTGTCTCTTCATCCACCTGGATTAACCCCTTGAAGGTAATGATTGCAGCTTATCTGTCTTTAGATCCTCTTTCTGCTTGTGGGGCTCAGTAATCATTCACACCGGCATTAATGATGGGCTGGCAATTGTAAGCCTGCAGAGAGCTTAAGTGATACTGTGTGAAGGTGCAGGTAGGGGAGATTTCAGAGGCAGGGATATTGTAAGGTATGCTTGTGAAGGTGTGGATAGTGATGATAAAATGTGAGTGCTGGAGAGGAGGCTTATAAGATTTATCCTTGATGGCATATACCTGTAATCCCAACAACTCAGGAGGCTGAGGCAGGAGGATCATGCACTCAGCTTAGGCAGTGCAGGAAAACCTTATCTCCAAAAAAAGGGTAAAAAGGTGGAGGGAGTTTACCATGGACCATGTACTAGTATTTTCTAGTGCCAAGTACTTTCCTAGGTTTACCTTACTAGATCCTCAGACAAACCTATTATTACCTCTGTTTTCCAGCCAAGGAGGCTGGGGTGCCCATGAGCCAGGTGTGGAGTGGGTATGCCAGGCCTGTTTGCCCAACTGTAGAGTTCCCATTTTCCCTTGTGATGGCAAATGGGCCCCCTCGGCTGTTTATTAGAGACTTGTTACAAACCAGGCCTTGTGTTTGATGCTTTACAGATATTATCCCTAACCCTCCCGGAAACTGTGTGACAAGAAGGGTGTCCCCACTTTCCATGAGGGATTAGGCTCACTGAGGGCAAGGGTCTTGCCTAAGGCCGCATAAATAGAAAGTGGTAGGTCCAAAGTTAAAACCAGACTTCCGTCACCCTAAAGCCTCACCCTTTCCCCTGCATCGGGTGCAGGTTCGGGACCATGGAGAACACCCTTGAGGCTGGAGCAGAGAATGGTTTGTGCAGGAAAGTAGAAACAGCTGTAGTTAGAAATGTGGCTCTGCTCCAGGCTGCAAAAGGCCTCTCCTTCCAGGGTACAGAACCAGGGCTGACTTTTGCAAGTGAAGGGTCCCGGGCAGTGACCTTGATCTGAGGACGGATTGGAAAGGGCTGGACACCAGAGGCCACAGGCATTCAAGCCAGCTGGAGCTCTGCCCAGATCTGCGCTGGGGGAAGCGCGGGGCTCTGCACAGCTGCCGGGAGATCAGAGCGCCCAGGCCTGCTGAGAAAGAGATGTTCAAGCAGATCTGTAGCTGATGGAAGCGAGCCCATCCCTTGCACCTTGGCATCGCCTGCTGGTTTCCCTGGGGCAGCAGGAGCAGCTCTTCTTGGCCTCCTAGTTCTCCTCTGATGAGGCTTCTGAAGAATTATTGGTGTGTGTGTGGAGGGTATTGGGGGGCCGTCCAGGATGAAGTATGAGCAGCCAGGCCCGCACCCTGCGGCTCCTCTCCTCGGCTCATGTGCTCAGAGATGAGTGGGGACCTGGAGGACCAGGGATAGTTCGGGTGGAGTTTTTGACTCTTGGCCTCTTGTGACCCCAGAGCCAGCTGGCCCTGACTGGGCTGGGGTGTCTCCAAAGATGTGTAGTCACAACATCCATCCCTCACCAGCACCGTTCCCTGTCCAGGTCATTGCTGTGGTCATGGACCTCTTCACTGATGGTGATATTTTCCAAGACATTGTGGATGCTGCCTCTAAGCGCTGGGTCCCAGTGTACATCATCCTGGATGAGGCAGGAGTGAAGTATTTCCTGGAGATGTGTCAGGGCCTGGAGCTCCCTGACTACCGGATTCGGGTAAGTTGTTCCACTAGGGTAAGGGGTGAGCAGGTTCGATGGAGACACCCTCCTCTTCCCCTTCCTCCTCTTCATGCTCCCGCTCCTTCTCCTCTTCCTCCTTTTCCTTCTCTTCCTCTTCTTTTTCCTTCTCCATTTGCCTCCACCCCAGTAGTTCAGGGGCTCAGGTGAAGATAGATTCGAGATCTCAACTCCTTTTCTTCTGTCTAAAGCCATGACTCAGGAACTGATAGCTGCTAAATCACATGCCCAGCTTAATTTGTATCCCAAGGCTGCAGAAGCTTTGGCAGATCTGTCCCATTCCTGGGATGCTCAGCCTGCAGAATTACTGAGTTTGCTGTCAAGTTCAAATTTGGGGCTGTGATTCTCTTCCAAGGAACTTTGGGAAGAGACAGGAAACCCTCTGGGCGTGTCCATGCTCAGAGCTTCAGTGACTTCCTCCTGCTCCCTGTATGGAGTTCACTGAGAAACAGAGAATCCAGACAGGAGTCAGCAGGCAGGGTCCTTGTACAAGGGGGCTCTTCCTCTGCCACAGCACAGGACTGCGACACGAGGCGATAGTGCTTTATCCCTTCTCCACAGAACATCCGCGTCCGCTCTGTGACAGGCGTCGGCTTCTATATGCCCATGGGGAAGATCAAGGGGACTCTGTCATCGAGGTTTCTGATGGTGGATGGTGACAAAGTAGCCACTGGATCCTACAGGTGAATTGGGCCAGGTCAGAGGAGGTAACTTCGTGGTAACTGTTCAGGAAGGTGCTGCACTGGAGCCTCCACAGTCCTGAGTTATTTTATTCTTGTAGTTGTTGATTTCTATTTCAGCCATGACAGTATGTCATGACAAACTGCCTCCTGCTAGTCCTTTCCTCAGCTCTTCTGGTTAATGGATTATTCCAGAAAGAGGGTCAACTCTTTGTGCGCATTTTAAGCGCTGCCTGTTTTTGTTTGTTTGCTTGTTCGTTTTGTGTTCTTGAGGCGGGCTCCCGCAATGTTGTGCAGGCTGGGCTGGAAACTCACTTCTGTAGCCCAGGCTGGCCTCAGACTCGCGGTGCTCCTCCTGCCTCAGCCTCCTGAGTGCTGGGCTGGCAGGCGTGCACCACCACATCCAGCAAACACTGCCTGTTTTTCATGGTCCACAGTAACTAGTTGCATTTTGAAACTAGTTGTTAGGTGGGACAAAGTGGGCAGTAGAATGGACCAGACCCACAAAGAAATTTGAGAGCATGGCAGAGAGGACTGTCTTCAGAGTTTCAATTTTACCAGCTGGGCGTGGTGGTGCACACCTGTAATCCCAGCACTTGGGAGGCTGAGGCAGGAGGATCGTTGTGAGTTCGAGACCAGCCTGAGCTACAAAGAGAGCTCAAGGCCAGCCTAACCTGCATAATGAAACCATTTCAAAAAGTTGAAGAAAAAAATGAATTACCAGACACATGAGAGACCATGTGCAATCTCTGTCCTCTGAGTAAATTAAAATTAGATTAAAAAAAAGGGACCTCAGCACATGAAACAGTTAATAAATGGCATAGGTCCTCTTTCAAGGTTATAGTATGGGCTGTTCTGCAGAAATTAAGTGCTCTAAAAATTCAAAGAACCAGTAAGGAATGGAACAATGTTGACAATTGCAGCAACCCACTGACTGTTTATTAGCTGTGTGTTTGTGCCAGGTACTCAGCTAAATGTTTTATTTGTTACTTCATTTGAGCCTCACAATGCTGAGTTAAGTAATCTCTAACATTTTGTACCCTAGGTCCTTTGAATCCCCTCCACTCCCTTGCTTTTTTTCTTTTTGCCATACTAGGGATTGAGCCCAGAGCTTTTCACACTGAACGTCTTTCTTTTTTTTTTTCTTATTTTTTATTTTGAGACAGTCTCACTAATTTAACTGGGCTTGGTTCAAATTTGCAATCCTCCTGCCTCAGCCTCCCAGAATATTGGAATTACAGGTGTACACCACTACACATGGCTGAGCCCTATTTTTTTTTTTTTTAACAAAGTATACAAAGGCAGAAACCAGGTGTGAATCGAAGCCTTACTTCTCTTGCTGTTCTCCCTAAGTCCATGGCCTATTTTTTGTGTTTGAGGCTCAGACCTACGGAGAGGGTTAAGCTGACAGAGAGAGAGACAGAGAGAGAGAGAGACAGAGAGAGAGAGACAGAGAGAGACAGAGAGAGACAGAGAGAGAGAGAGAGAGAGAATCGGCATTAGGTGGCACAGGCCTTCTGTCCACCGGCAGGCAGTCTGGCTGCAGTGTTGGGGATGATGGGCCGGGCCAGGGACCAGGCTGGCCACACGTCTGCTTTCTCGTCCTCATGTTCCAGGTTCACCTGGAGTTCCTCTTACGTGGACAGGAACCTTCTCCTCCTCCTGACAGGGCAGTACGTTGAGACCTTCGACGTGGAGTTCAGGGAGCTGTACGCCATCTCCGAGGAGGTGAACCTGTTCAAGAACCTGGGCCTGGGAGGAGCCGCGGGCAGACTTGCTCCCAACTACTCCTCCACCGTGGCCCGCAAGCTTATCAACCCCAAGTACGCCCTGGTGGCGGGCAGCCGCCACCCTCCGGGGGAGATGATGCGCTGGGCTGCCCAGCAACAGCGGGGCCCGAGCGGCACCCAAGAGGGGCAGGAGGAGGGCGGCGGAGGTGGCGAATCAGCCCGGCGCCTGGAGAGCTTCCTGAATGACCTGGTCACGGTGGAGCAGCTGCTGCCCCCCGTGGAGCCCATTCCCTCCAGAGAGCTGAGCCGGAAGGATGGTAAGATGGGCTCTCACACGCACATAGACCTGAAGCCCAAGGCCCGAGAGGCACCAGGCCAAAACGGCAAGGGGGAAGCGGCCAACGGGGACGCCGTCCCGACCAAGGAGAGCAAGCGCTTCGGCAGCAGGTTCTTCAGTCGACGGACCAAGAGGCCTGCGGCGTGCAACAGCATGGCCAGCTCCCTGTCCACCGAGACGGTGACCGACAGGGACTTGCTGATGGGGAAGAGGCCCACTGAGGGCTCCAGCACCAACATCTCAGGTGAGGCCTCTTCCCTGGGGCCCGGTGCCACCCCGACCCTTGCGTGGCGCTCGTGGAGGAGTATCGCCTCATGCTCACACGGGCAGCTGGATGGCACGAGCAAGCAGGCTCTGGGTCGGAAGGTCCTCGGTTGCCCCCGCGGCTCTGGCCTGTGTCTCTCTGGTGGCCCTGGACAAGCCATCGCGCTTCCGAGTTCCCTGGGAGGGGAGAGCCGTGTGTGTGTGCCTTGCCCAGGGCTCAGAGCGGCGCTGGTGCGGGCTTGCTGGGAGACAGCTTCCAAACTGGCCTCAGAGCCTCTCGGGCAAATGAAGGTAGCGGAGCACGTTTCTCCTTTGCAGATGAGGAATAAGGGGCCGTAGCTGAGTCCAGGGCTCGTTCCGGCCCATCTTGTTCCTTGCTGGGTCACCATGGGCAGGATCTAACCTGGTTAGACACACCCTACCCATACCTGCGCCCCTGTGGGGCCCCCACCCAGCTTCCTGTTTCTGCTGTCAGTAGTTTGGTTTCCTGGGTTTGTGTGACAAGCAGGCGAGCCCTCTCTGAGAGCTTAATGGCAGTGGTGTCTTTCTGGTCATCTCTCTGGGATCCCTTTGGGGTCCTGGCCTTGATCTCCTTCTCCAGAGCAGTCTCTGGTACGGCCCTTTGCAAAGCTGGTGGTGCCCCAGTATCCCTGAATGGAAAGGGTGTCAGTGTTGAGATTGCCCCTCCGTGGCTGCGGGGCTGTGTGGCAGTGAGCTGAGCTCCTCAGCTGGCCAGGTACATGGGAGCCAGGGCCTGAGGTCTCGTCCTGGGCAGCCTCAGGGCTCCAGGACTCAGCTGTCTTCACAACCCTAATTTGAGCTGATTCTAAGTGACTGAAAAGCAGGGAAGCAGCCACTTCTCCGGTGCTCATTCCCAGCACCTGCTCCCAGGCTGTGCGCGTAGATGTTCGCTCGTTCGGGTTAGAGCAGACCTGGGGGTCTCTGGCATCGGGACAGTGGGAGCACCCGGACCTTCCCACACCCTTCTGAGCAGCTCTGTGGGCCAGGCCCTGTGTAGGTGCTCACCCCTTTCATCCTCAGATAACACCTCAAGCCCTTCAGAGGAGGAAGGAGTGGTCCCAGGGCACAAGAAGTGGTCATAGGCCAGGACCCAAACACTGTCCTGTCGAAGGAAGGCGGTTTGCCCTGTCCCCATTCCCCGCTGGGCTCCCCGGCTCCCCTGACGTCCGACGCTGCTCTGCACCTCCTATTGGAAGGAGGGTTGCCATGGTGAACACCTGGCAGGAAAGAGGAGGGGATGAGCCCAGCCACAAAGGGGCTGATTCCCAAGTCCTGCCTGGAAGTGAGGTAGAAGCTTTCTCTTCTCTCAGCCCCTCACCCGGAGGCAGTTTCCATAGAAACGCAAGGCCCATTGTCTCGTCCCTTCCAGCCACCTCTCCCTGTTGCTCAGCCTCGGGTTCCCCGACTGGGATGACTTCGGCGGGTGCAGCCACTCTCGCTCACCTCTGAGTGTTTGCACATGGTGCGCTGGAGCCAGCTAAGCAGGCCGGACCGTACCCTCAGGAGGCCCCTCTCAGAGCGCCTGCACCTGGGCAGAGCCAGAAGGGCACGGCAAGAGTGGCTGGCACATGTAGTCAGGAAGGCCGTGTTACCTCCCGAGGGCGTGTGTCCAGCACAGCCGCTGCCCGCCTGCCCCAGATCCGGTTCCTCAGGGCGCTTCTCCTCCTCTGTTTCTCTCTTCCCCAGAGGCAGGAAGAGAAGCTGGGCTCACTGTTCGTCACCTCCGCCTCCCCAACACTGGGCACAGCCAGGCTGCCGCAGTGCCTCCCTGCAGGCAGCAACTGAGTCCAGGCCGCGTGTGTGAGAGGGCCGGGCTCCCAACAGCAGGGCCCCGTGGAGGGAGGTAGTAATCCTAGACCACCTGATGCTGTCACCCCATCCAAGAACGGTACCCGCTTCCCTGGGGAACATTTGCAATGCCATTGGGACAGACACCACCCCCTTCCCCTGCTCATGACAAACTGTCCTTGCACGCTGGAAATGTCCCTCCCCTCCCTGGGTGAGCTAAGGAGCTTTTCCAAGGTCCCTTGGAGTAGATTTTCACCTCGTCCTAATCTTTGTGCCCTCTCATCAAGAAAGGATGTGGGTTGATGACAGGGCTGGTGAGAGAGAAAAAGCCGAGAGCTGACAGCCTGTAAAATTGCTTGATAAGAAGTATATAGTTGTCAAACAGTATGCAAATTTTTGCAAACCCAGGTGTGGCCCTTGGGAGAACCTCCCAGAAACTGCTGCCTTCGGGGCTGGGGGGGTGGGGGAGGGGGGGGCACAGCTTGGTGGTGTGAAGGTTCGAAGCTCCCTCTAGTGGTGGAGGCTGGGCATCTTTTCCTTTTGTCTTCACTCTGCTAGACCTTGCTCCTGTGCTGGGCCACCTTACACCTTCCCTCCCACCTGCCTGCCACCTGCTTCCACCCAGGAGCTCAGGACAGGCTGTCTGAGGGAAAGATCCCCAACTTCAGGGAGGAGCAGTCAGTGGGTGGCCTTGTTATGAAAATACCATGAGGAGGCCAGGCATGATGGTGCATGTCTATAATTCCAGCCCAGGGAGGCTGAGGCAGGAGGATCTCCAGTTTGAGGTCCCACCTGGGCAACTTAATGAGACTCTCTCTCAAAAATATAAAGGGTTGTGGATGAAGATCAGTGACATAGTGCTGCTGGGTTTGATTCCTGCTACCACAAAGGGGTCAGTATCACTTGGACTAGGCTGAAGACTAACAAGATCTTCCCATGCATTTCTCCAATATAGAGTGTCCTCAGACCAACAGGCAGTGCTGCCCCACAGAGGAGGCTCAGGCAAGGCTCTGCCCTCAGGAAGTCAACGGGCTAAAGGAGGAGGTTCTAGGTGCTATGCATGAAACACCACCTCCACACTCCTGCGGGTCTCTGGGAAATGGCCAACGTTTTTAAGAAAGATGCATTGTGAGATGTTTTGGTCTGAAAGCCTCCTGCCTGACCCCTGACCTTCAGAGAGGGGAGCCTATGTCTAGGCCCTCCCAGGGAGCAACGGTGGCTGTTTCCGAAAGTGAGGGCTGACACTGTTGCCCTGTATCTTTTAAAAACTGGAAGGGCAGGAGCCCCAAGTGCTGGCTGGACCCTCTCTGCTGGTATTCTGCCAGCTGAGAGGGAGGCAAGGGTGGGGCCTTTTCTCCCAAGTGGTCTCCAAGATGACCTGCGTTAGCCATGCCTTTCCCGAAGGCTCCTGGGTCCCCCTGTTTTGTATGTGGCCCACTCTGCCGACAGTAGAGTCTGGCTTCATAGAGCTATGGCTTCCGGCTCTCAGATTCAGTGATTTCACACTCTCCTGTGTCGTCCAGGAACTAGAGGGTGCTGAAGGTCAGCGATGTCTCTCCTGGAAATCTGGGTCCCTGTCAGAGAGGGACTATGAGATGGCCTGGGGAGTGCTCGCTGGGCTCGGCTCCGTGCAGACCCAGTGGACCCCGTTCCAGGGCACATCTTCTCATGTGGTACTTGGCAAGGCAGAGTTTCAGAATTCGGCCTTGCCCCTGAGCATCCGGGTCAGGCCCCAGCTGGGGTGTGGGAGCTTCTGTCCGAGCTAATGATTCTGAACCCAGTTACCAGTGGAGGTTCTGATGGCACAGCACCCTCCAGGTGACTGACCCACCCAGCTTCAGAGGAGAGGCAGGGCTGCTTACTCTTGCTGGCTGATGTCAGACTCCTTTCTAGTTTCTCTCGGCTGGCCAGGGCTTCCATCACCTGGCCAGGTGAGTGGGGACGCACAGGTCACCCATGCTGCTGTTGTTCCTGCTGTTGTTAGTATTGGCATAAACCCCAAGTAGCTTGCTGTCGCCTAATCATTCATTTTCCCCATTAAATGTAGGTCTGTGAAATGTGTGCTCTGTGCCAGGCACTGCTCTAAGTTCCTGTGCAGGAGGGGGCAGAATGAGTGAAGTCCCTCTCATCCAGGGCGGGTCACGCTGGGGAGAGCTGGGGGCACGGGAGAGGAAGGACCATTTTATAAAAGGCCAGCAGGGAAAGCCTCTCTAACCAAGCAGCAGTGCAACAGAGGCTGCTGGAGGGACAGAGCCATGTGGACATCAGGGAAAGGCGCTTTCAAACAAAGGGAATGTGAAGCCCTGAGAGCTATAAGAAGAGAGGACCCTGTTGTCCTTGCTATAAACATCCACCTTGATGTCCCTTTCCTTCCTGTCTCCCACATCCCCTTGCTTCCCAGCTGTAGTCACAAATGCCCTAGCCTGCCACACCCCAACCCTTCCGTCACACCACTGTGCATTTATGGCCCTGTCCTCCCACTCTGCAACCACACGTGCAGTCTCATTTCAGTGTCACCTCCCTCTGAGCTTGACATTGTCTCATAAGCCTTCTTCAGGCCACCTCACCCTTGCCACACATAGTTTGTAAAATATATATTAAAAAAAAAAAGCATTCTAAGGAGGCGGGTGGTGTTCATATAATTCTTCCCCACTGATCTGAACTGCTCTGATTTGCCTGCCCATGGCAGACTCCAGTAAGTGAGCATTGATGGAACAACGGAACATAAAGAATTTTCCAACCAGTTTCTCCTTCAGAGGCATGGAAATGAATTCTGAGGATAAGGGATCTCTCCAGGCTTGCATCCAGCCCGATGAATTGAGGGGGCAGGTCGTGCTGAAGGCAGAGGTCTCTAGGAAGGAGCTGGGTGTTACCCAGGCTGGAGCTACAACCCCACCCACACAGCATCCCTGTTCCCTGACCCCCAGAGCTGCACCCCCGGCCCTGCGTCTGGAGCCAGAGATCGATTTTTTTTTTACCTGCCTCCAAAACGTTGCTGCCTCTGGGGAGGAACTCAGTGTCTGCTCAGTAGGCCAAGCAAATAGAACAGGCCACTGAGGAGCGCAGAGTGGGGACACTGCGTCCATTGCAGCAGTGAGGGGTTCTGGGGCAGCAGAATGCAGTGACTTCAGCAGAGCCACGCCAGATGCAGCCCTCAGCGCTGCTGCCAAAGGTGACCCCCCTCCACTCCCTGCTGCCCCTCGGCAGCCACCTGCACGAGTCTGGGGGACACCGGGCAGGGGCTTGGCTGGGTTTGCAGTAGGTCCCATGGAGTGAGTTCAGTCTGGCCTGGACACAGCATTGGCGAACACAACACAGTCTGCGGGCCTGAGTGGTGGCCCTGCAGGAAGACGGAATGGAGAGGGGGGAGGCTGCAGAACCAAGGCCCCGAGCCCAGCTCTGTTCTGTGTCTCTCTTGCTAACAGCCCAGAAGAGAAGGCAGACGCTGCCTTAATTAAATTCACAGCTGAAGTGACATTGGAAGATGGTGTGAGCGCCAGGGAGACAGCCCTTGCAGTGTAGGGAGGAGCCCACAGGAAATAACACCAGCAGCCTCCACCTGGAGAGGTGTCCCACGCTCTGAGGACATGAGCCCTGCCTCAAACAGTCTGAGGCCGCAAGGGCCCGAGGTGTCAGGTCTGCCTCACAGCTTCCGCTCCATCCTGCCATAGGTCAGAGAGCAGGAATCAGCCACAGAAACTGCGGGCCGCGTGGCAGGATCGTGAAGGAAGTGGAAATGGGTGCTGAGGCCCAGGGAAATGGAAAAAGGAGCCGCTGTGCCTGGAGCCGCAGCCTGCACCGCTCGCTCCCTGCCCTCTGCCTAGTTGCCCCCTCACTGAGTGTTGCTGGCCCCACCAGAGGTGCCGCTTTTCCCCTTCCAAGCCGGCGCCTGTGCAGCAGACGGAGCTGAGACTGGACTGGTAGCCAGGCCCTGGCATTGTCACTGGTGGGCTCTGGGAGCAGGACCCACGGCCTCTGCTGTGGAACAAAGCGAAAGATCCTGGCTCACAGCGTGGCCACCACTGAGGGTGGATCACTGGAGAGCTCAAAGCTGCTCAGGATCTTAACTACGGGCAATGACAGTCTTAGCACAGCTTCTAAGTCACTGGAGTCCCTTCTCCGTCTTTCTTTGGTCAGGAGACAACAGGCCTCTTGCAGTCCCAACCCACGATGATCCTGCTGTGGCTGTCAAGGCAGGAAGAGTCTTTTCTTTTGCTTCCCTAGGTGTCCCGCTGAGCTGGTTTCCAGATCAGCAGCTTGGAAGGGAACCAGTAGCCCTCGACCCCCAAGTTGAGGTGCAAACAGAGTTCAGGATAGGGGCCGGAGGCAAATCCACTGAGCATCTCACTGATGTCCTTCCCTGCCTGTGTTCCTCGTCTCTGCAGGTAAAACAAGTCCCACTCCTGGCAAGCCCAGCAATTGCGTGATTTCCTGAGCCACAGGAGACCTGTGGATGGCCATCTGTCCTGCCCTGTGCTGTGAAGAGCGCAGGGCTCAATCTGCAACAGTTTGCACACTGAACACCGACCAGCCTCGGGGCCTGGACTCCAGATGAGAGGCTCTGGGGCATCTCAAGACCATCACGTGCCTCCGTCAGACGGCCAGAGACCAGGCAGATGCCACTGCCGCCATGTTTACATGATGTGGAAGCTTGACTAGCGTCCACTCTCCTTTAGGCTAACCGCCCCCCACTGGGCCAGCCCCAGAGCTGCAGGTCCCCCAGTGGAACAAGGGCCACTACTTCTTATGCTTCAGTGAGATGAGGTCTGCAGGGCAGCCTCAGCCACCTGGCTTCCCCTCTCCTGGGCTTCCTACTGCTTTCTTACCCCCCAGAGCGGGCAGAAGGAAGGGAAGAGGATGGGGCTCTGAGGTCAGGGATCCCGAGTTCCAGTTTTGCTCCAGCCACAGGACACAAGGTGGAAGCTGTCCCAGGACCCCCAGGGCGCTGGCTGCTGTCACCTACCTGGCCCAGTCTCCACAGGCTCCTGCACCAGACTGAGTGCAATGGGGAAAGGATTTGACACTGCCAGTTTGGGAGCCCCTTTCCCTTGCTCTGTGCCACCCTGGCAGGCTCTGCCTGGGTGCCGCAAGCTTCCTGGGCCAGTGCCTGCCGTGAGCCTCCATGGGGTTCTTAGGGTGCCCTTCCCTGGACCTGCCCATCCCCTCAGTAAGGCTTGGGTTTGCAGCCTAATGAAGGGAGAGAGACGAGGCAGGAGTGGGGGCCGCTGGGTGCCCAGGACAAGAGTATCTGCCCCTTCCTCCCCAGATGGTCCTTGGTCCCTTTCACCCTCCAGGACTTCCCCAGTTACGTGTCAGCCAGAGACCAGCCTTAGCCCCCTGCGAAAAGTCAGGCTATAACATGGTGCTGGGCAAGGGCAAGCAGTAAATGATCGCACGCACGCACACACTCACACTCACACTCACACACTCAGGTGACCGGTACTGGCTGAGCCAGGTGAATGGACCATGGAGGAACTGTCCAGCTGAGGGCTCTGAGCCGGCCCTCCCCGTCAGGCGGCGTGCTGGAGGGACAAAGGGCTGAAGCGTCCCAGGGAAGGGCCACATGGCGGCCTTTGTCAGCTTCTGCCCTCTGAGCCGAGCTCTTGTCCCTCTTCTCTCCTTATGAAAAGCACTGGGACACCACCCATTCTGAGGAAAGGACACAGATGTCTACAGGACAGCTGATGACAGGCAGGGAGGGGCACACGGGTTGGCAAGTCTGGGGCCTTGGCGGAGAGTCAGGTCTCCCCAGGGGCAGGGGGAGCAGGGGAAGGGAAGGCGAGCCTGACCCCAGGGCCTTGTCTTGCCCCTGAGGCCCGCTCCCAGCTGTGTGGGGAGGGACCCTGACCCACCTCCCCCAGCCTTCTTGAGGATTAAACACTTCTGGGAAATGCTTCCTCATGCACCAAGGCCTGTCTGCATGGCGCGTCCTTATTCGGGAGGGGAAGGGTGGGTGAGGGTGACGTGGGGGAGGGCTGCTACACCTTGAAGATACGGGACCCGAGGCGCCTGGATTGTAGTGGAGGGAAGGAATTGCCCTTGGAATGGAGGTTGGCACCTTGGCCTCAGAAGAGGCCGTTCTGCTGAGCCCTTGTGCTCCCCTGGGACAGAACCTGGCCTGCTATATCCCTCTCTCCCTACAACCAAGTTTAGCCCCCAGACCTAGGAGGATCCCAGTGGAAGGTCCAAGTCACTGCACCCTTGATCTAGGCCCTCCCTTCTGCCTCAGTTTCTCCACATGCCAAGATGAGGTTATTCTCACTTTCTGCAGCAAGGAAGAGGAACCAACTCAGTGCTGGGCAGAGCGCTGGCCCGCAGTGGGGCCCCTTTCCCCTTCAGCCTGCTTCCTCATTTCTACAGAGGATGGGTGACACGGCCTCTGCCCCCTGCAGCCCTGAAATCCTTGTGAAAGGGGCTACAGCGCGAAGACTGCTAAGGATCTCATCCTGAAACAGCTCGGAACGTTTGCTTGGCGGCTTAAGCTCTGGCCCGCTGTTCTGGTCTGGCTTCTCTGTCTCGAGTGCCTCTGCCCTCTGTTGCAGCACTTGCTCGTGACATCTTGGGTACCTCTGGCCTCCCCGGGTGGGTGGCAAGTTCAGGGCTGGAGGGCGCCCTCTGCCGCAGCATCCTCAGCCCGGCAGCCTCGGAAGGGCTCTAGGCAGGCAGGATGAAAGGGCGCTCACAGGGCCCCCTCTGGCTTTGTGCTCCCACCCCGCCCACTGCCTGCCACCTTCCCCCGAGTCCAGCCTCTGTGCAGCCCTGGGGAGGGCCACCCTCCCGGGAGCTGAGGCCTCTTGCACTGCTGCCCACCTGGCCTCTGCTCCATCCCGGCAGGAAGTGCAGGACTCCTCCTGCCTGGCGCTGGGAGGCTGTTCTTTGAGGTTTGGCAAAACGGCCTTGTATCAGTCTGTTCTCCGGGTATGATTATGGTCAGCCCTATCCCTGATTCCATCCAAGACAGCCTCTTCCCAGCTCAGTACCCTGCACCTCAAAAGGACTTTATAGACCACAGAGGAGGCCTGGAGGTGTGGAGGGAGCTGGCCACAGAAAGGGAATGGCTCCTTTATTTTCTCCTTGGCATGCAGGGTTTTTTTTTTATTTATTGAGCACCTACTATATGGCCAGTCACTGCTGAATGCTTTAGTCATATGCAGGTTTCAAACTAAGAACACCTCAGGGAAGTCCCTGTGTAAAGTCAACAGTTTTCCCATGTATTGAGGGTTTGGGCCACATGGAATATGTTATCTGCATTTTTCAGATAAGGCTCTCCCTGCATCCCCATCTGAGCTCGGGCTTGCAGCACCAGTGACACGAGAGCTGTGCAATCCTCTGCTGGGGGAGGGGCATTGGTATTCCGTACAGGGTGTTTCTCAGGTCTACCAACTACATGCCAGTAGCACCCCTGCAGACGAGGCAATCAAAATATCTGCAAGCATTATCACATGCCCCCCAGGTTTGGACATAAAAACACCCTCCATTTAGGGCTCCTGCTCTCCACTTTGTGGCCACAAAGGTAGCTCTGGAAAGCACTTCCACCTGCTCTCTCTCTCTCTCTCTCTCTGTGCACCTGACAGGGGCTTCGGCCCAGACAGGTCGGCTGACTTGCCTGAGATTTTTGGTTTCCGGGACAGTGGTGAAAAAAAACGGCGTCTTCCCCCTTTGTCCTAGTTACCTTGCTTAGCTCTTTGCCGCCTCGTTCTCCCCAGAACAGGTGTGTTTATGTGCACACACCTGCCTGATTTCACTCTGCTCCCCGTCAGGTTTTCTCCCAATCTGTTCTTTCCTTCAGTCTCAGCTGCCTCCCACACAGCATGGGTTGAGCCCGTGTGCGCCCGACGGCAGCCCCCTCCCAAAGCAGCTGGGGCTGACAGGAGGACACCTCTAAACTCAAGTCAGGCCGGTGGGACTTGCCACCTGGCTGTCACAACCACGGTGTGAGTAAGCATCAGCAAAGTCCCTAAGCAGATAATTAGCCCTGCCGTGAGCCGTGGATCATGGAGCACGTTTATTAGCTGTTCGTGGGCCACACGTATGCCCTCCCGTCCAAATGATCCAGCTGCTGTCACTGATCATCCCTGTTTCCGTTTCAGAAGCAGGAGATCTGCTGCAGGACAACCACCCAGGCTTGAGTCTGAAAGAAAGGCAGACGGGGACAGGTACAGGGGACAGGTACAGGCGTGAGAATGTTCTTAGGCCCAGCAATTACAAGATCGGCCCAAAGGCCTTGCGGAATTAGACCTAAACTTTTCACCTCTCCCCTGCAAGGCCTCCACTCCCCCACTATGGAACAGAGAAGGCCCTGCTCGCGCACCCGCGAGCTGCAGCCGGGAGTGACAGGCACCCATTCTTCCTTCGGGCTCGGGAGCCCCGAGTCCAGGCTCTCAGAGCGCAGGACCTTATCTGTCTGGCTCATTGTTGCAGCCACAGTATTTGCTTAATACCTATTTGTTAAATGATGGAAGACTTGACAGCCAGTCAGGTCAGAGAATAAAGCAGGCTAATCAACAGGGGAGGTGTCAGGTTCCAGAATTGCTCAGGATTCTTCCAGCTTTGTTCCTGACTTCTAAGACTTACATGGAAGTTGAAGGGGATCCTGTTGTCTGCTATTTCACGTCTTAAGGACCAGGCTTATCAGAAGCCCCTCCTGAGCTACGCCTGTCCTCTGGGGTGGCTTCTCCTCTTGTTACGCATCCTAAATGCACAGGCTTCATCTCCTGGGGCCTCCGGCCTGGTGGAGCCTGGGCTCCAGGCTGCTGTGTGCTGGGGTTCTGCCCTTTCTCCACGCATCGCTTCATGAGGCTACAGGAGGAGGAAACAGGAGGAGGAAAAGGGCCTTGAAGTGAGATTTGTCCAAAGCCACCATGCAACAAGTACGGGAAAGGCTGGAAAGCCAGTTACCCAGCAGACAGCCCGGCTCGTGTTCACTCGTGTGCCCCGTGGCGTCTCCCAGGGAGCCAGCTGGAGACGAGTGCTCATCTAGGAACATGGTTAGAAGTTAGGGCGGTGTCTGCAGCCGCTAAAAAGCAATTTCAGGAACAGATGTCCACACTGTAGAATGAGGCCAGCTAGGACCTGCCACGGAAGCCAGCGAGTGTGTGGGAGCCTGGAGGAGGAGGAGAAGAGCAAAAGGCAAGAACAGGCAGTGTGCCCGCCCACAGTGCCCACAGCCCCCGGGGGAGAGAGCCCATTGTGTGCCAGCGAGTGCACCTGTGACTCTCATTTCCTGCTGGCAGCGTTGACGCCCTGGCTTGAGTCTCTTCCTGAAATGCCTCAGAGCTTAGGGGACTGGACAGGGAGAGGCAGGCCGGGGGCAGTGCTTGGAGCCGCATTCATTTGTTCAGCTCTGTGCACGCGTGGTGAGGGTGGGAGGCACTGGTTTTAAGGCGGTGCGGCTGCACGCCACTTGCTGTGACCTTAGCAGGTCATGCGGTGGAGAGAGAACAGGCTTTAGACAGGCAGGTGTGGGTGCCATCCAGACTCCAGCACTGAACTCCTAATGTCCCACCAAGCTACTTCAGTTGCCAACCTTGGTTTACTCTTGTATCAGAAAGGATCTCAGACCCCTCGCCTGAGGCTGGGGGAGTAACCACAGAAAGCGCCCAGCACCAGGCCAGAGGCACAGCACGGAGCGGCGTGGCTGGAGGCTCTGGGGCTGTTAGAGCCAGTTCTTGGGCTGTTCTCCCTTGGATTCTCTCCCTTGCTCCTTCCTGCATATTTGCAGGAACTTTGTGATGAATAGCTGGCACACAGGCTAAGCGCTGCTCACCTGGAGAAAGTTTTAATGCCCAGGTTTTAACGGAAAGGTGGAGAAAACCAATAGTTTTGGGCAGAACACATAATTTCAGTTTGTTTGGAGAATCTTGTAAATAAAAATTGAATTTTTTTAAAAAAGTTTAGGGGCTGGGGATTTAACTCAGTGGCACAGCGCCTGCCTGGCAAGCGCGAGGTTGTGAGTTCGAGTCCCGGTACCGAAGAAAAAATTAATAAAAAAAGTCTAAACCAGGGCTAGGATTGTAGCTCAGTGCTAAAGTCTCGCCTACCATGCACAAGGCCCTGAGTTCAATATCCAGCACCCAAAAACACGTAAGCCGAAGAAACATTTCCAGAGAAGCCTGCCAACACCTCACCCAGACACTGGGCTTTCTAAACCAGAGCTGCAGCCCTCGTTTAAGACTCCAGACCCTCCCGGGCATTCCTTTAGCGTCCTGCTAGCGACTGCCTAACTGTCCCCCAGCAGCCGGGTCCCTGGGTGAAAAGCACTGGGCGCTGAGGTTCCCGAAAGGAGCCCACGCGGCCGGAAGTACCGTGGTGAAAGGCTGACACCTAGTGGTAGCTGGCAGCAGTGTCCTTCCATTCCGGTGAGACGCTGGCCCAGACACAGGCAAACTCGTTCTGTAAGGGCTACCAGAGGCACGCAACCTCTGTCCTAACTGCGGCAGGAACTCTGCAGCAGCCGCAGAAGGTCCGCGTGGGAGTCACAGTGCAGCTGTGCAAGACGCTGTGGACCCTGCAATTTAAGCTTCGCGTAATTTTCACATATCACCAAGTATTATTCTTTTACTATTTTTCAATCATTTTAAAATGTAAAACAGGTGATGGGGGTGCAGCTCAGTGGTAGAGCACATCAAGGCCTGAGTTTGATTCCCAGGACCAAGAATAAATAAATAAATACCACACTTAGCTCTGGCACAGTGACTGTGCCAAAACAGGTGACAGGCTAGATTGGGACAATGTGCTCTCACTTGCTGACCTCTGGCCTGGGACACCTGTCCTTCTAGGCCTTGGCTCCCAACACTGACCACCAACATGGCACCTGGCATCTTTGTCATGGTTCTGTCAAGAGGAACCCTCTAGAGCCGGATATGGTGGTGCACTCCTGTAATCCCAGCACTCGGGAGGATCACTGCAA